GTTGTTTTTACATATAGGAAGCATACAAGATCTTCTTCTTCCAATGCTACAGTTGGGAACATTGAAAATGAGTACATCAGAAATCTTCAGCAACAGATTTATTTCCTTGAATTGGAAGCTAACTATCTGTATCCTTTCATTGATCAACGTTTTTTCTGACCTGGCCGGCATATGCATGTGTAGGAATGTTCACCCAAGGGTACTCCCATATGAAAAGGGTTCCACAGGGATGCTTGTTAATTATCTTGCTTAGAGGTTTTAAAATCAAGGATTCTGGTCTTAAGGTGTTCATGATAAAATGCCACTATTTTTAGCTATCAAAGTATTCTTTTAGGGTGCCCTCCAAGAAATGATGATCAAAAACGCTCTTTGACTAACTTATTCCTGTTTTTAGGCTCGATTCTGCCAGTCCCTACAGTTTGGTCTCTTAGCACAGGCTCCTGCCCTGAACAGCAGCTTGTAATTGGGCCTATTCCATTTTAAGTGGTATCTTTTAGGGGTCAAATATGGCTTTAGCCATGCCCAGAGTGGCCTCTGTCATATCAGTGTATGAAACATCAAAGAAACCAGATTATTACAATATACACTCTATACATTTGTGTACCATCACCACAAACTGTTTTTGTCTTTTTTCAACAAGTCCATGAAATTCTTTCCCTTAACTTGTAAATTATCATCAGACGTGAGCAGGCACGAAAAGCTTCAGGTGAGAGGATTAAAATAAATATAAAATTTTTCCTATTTTTTAAAGGGATGAACTTTAAATTTCTCCATATACTATCACTACTTGATTAAGCAGCCATGTTGTGAGAATATAGCAAATCAACAATTTCTTGATAATGCCTTCACATAGTATCAAGTTCTTTGAACTAACATTAAAAGAAAATTCAAATAAATTAACTGGCAAACCTTTCTACAAAATCATTTTCCCAAGGAGTTGAACATTTGCTGTTAAACTTTAATTTTTTGGCATTAATCTTCAAGCAGCAATCCCTCCTCGAGTCACTGAGGAAGCAGACCGTATGATGCGGAAGCTGAGGGATCTTCAGGCTCAGGTGGATGAACGATCTTCTGATGTCGTCAGGAAAGAGTCGCAAATGAACATGTTGGAAGCTGAGAAAGATGCCGCAGTCAAAAGGCTTAGAGATGCTGAAGGTACATTTCTTAGCTAAGTTGAAGGCATAGCTTGATTTAACTAAAACTTTTGAACCTGAAGTAGTAAGACACTTCCCTATCGCCTCATTTGCCACTGTTTTGTTCTTACCTCATTTTGACGTCATCTGTGATCTATTACTGAACAGATGCATAGCAACCAGGAATCTATTTGTTAAGCTGACAATGCATATATTTTATTATCCTAGAGTCACATGCAGCCGAAAAGCGACAGTTGGTAAATGAGGTAGTGTCACTGAAAAAGATGTCTGACCTTCATGAGCGTGATTGTGCCAGACGAGACCTACAGGTTCATCAATACAAGAATGAAGCTGATAAAGGACTCACTGCTTTACAAGAAGCAGAGAGAAAAGTACAGAACTATAGAATAGAGGTGTGTTAGAAATCAGGTTAATTATCTATCACTTTTTTTAAGTTTTTACTTCATGCACATTAAATGAAACCCTAAAATTAATTCAGGCATTCATTCAGTTGGACTTTTTATTTTACACTGCCAATTTTGGACTAGTTTTATTGTGAATTGGGACAAATTCCATCAAAAGTTCAAGCACTGTATAACCAGAAATAATTATGGATTGCCAGCAAATAAACTAAGTATACATGTAGCTGAAGGTGAAGGCTGAGAAAAATTAATAAGCTCTAAAATAAACTGTAAAAATCCTTGACTTCAAGTTCTTTTTTTAACTGTTGAAAACCCCGGGGTGGGACAGGGTACTCCCATATATAAGTTCCATGGGTGTGTGCTGCCATGAAGGGTCTGGTTTTCAGGCAGTTAAGTTTGGGATAGTGTACAGAAATCAGACAGTTTTGTACTAGAATAGGGTATACACTTGTAATTTACCAGGAGAGTCGGTAGTCAAGAACAGAATTGGTACAACTGAATGGTAAATAGCTAGTCTGGGATAGGGTAGTGGTTTTTGGTTCCTAGTCTAGAATAAGGTTGCAAAATCAAGCTGATCATGGTCTAGTATAGGGTGAGGGACTCAGTGTCCCAGTGGCTCACCCCTACCCAAAGATTTACAGAGTAAAACCTCTTAGAGAGGCAGATATATGTATATATTTAAAATAATNCTTCATGCACATTAAATGAAACCCTAAAATTAATTCAGGCATTCATTCAGTTGGACTTTTTATTTTACACTGCCAATTTTGGACTAGTTTTATTGTGAATTGGGACAAATTCCATCAAAATTGCTGAAAAGCTGATCATGGTCTAGTATAGGGTGAGGGACTCAGTGTCCCAGTGGCTCACCCCTACCCAAAGGTTTACAGAGTACCCCCCCCCTCCGGGGGGAGGGGCTAACCGCAGTTCAATGTTTTAACTTCAGCTTGACCACAAGACCGAGGATTTAAACAATCTAAGAATCGAGTTGGAAGAGAAGAGAGCAGAATGCTTGAAGCTGAAGACACAACTACAAGAAATGGATGATAAGTACTTCGACTCGCAAGCTAAAACAAAAGAGGAATTAGGACGGGCACTCAGGGTGAGGACAGAATGGTTTGATTACATGACGTATTTCTGGGGTATTGCCACTCGATATTAACGCAAATATCGTGCCATTTTAAGTGACGAGGAAAGTTCTTTGAAATTGAAAAAAAAAAAAACCCTGAAAATAATAGTTTTCACAGGAAGTAGAAGACTTAAGAGTTGAAAATAAACGAAAAGTTAACAATGATGGCTAAACTTGAGTACGATTGAAGCAGATATGATGTTATAACATAGGGTAACTCTAACAGCTCCGCAGTCTTTTATCGTACATCCGGGGTCCCGGCCAATCGTTAAGCAACCTGACAATTTGCAAAAGAGTTGAATTTTTCTAAGGAATGAGCAATATTCCACTTGAGCGCTTCAAGCTGCAGAAACCAGATAAGCTCCGGTGGTGTACTGCCTTGCACTTCAGCGCGAGCAGTGCATATTGCTTATACCTTACATTATATATATTGCAAGGAATTATTTTCTTGTACATATAGGAAGAAATACGCCAGCTTAGGTTGCAGTTGAAAGAGAAGGAAATCAACGCCGAACAGGACAGAAGCTTGAGAAACAAGGTACGACAGAACTAAGGCAAAAAACTTTTTCTTGAGTGTTATCACCAGCCTTTTGAGCCAGCCGTCATGTTTCAGTGCAAGCTCTCTCAGACTAGGCAAAAAATTCTATTGAATATTTTCATGTTTGTGTGTGACTGCTCTCCGTTTTTAGATTCAAGATGACTGCACGGCGTTGATAAAAGAGAACGCCGCTATATCAGCCCAAGTTGTAGAACTAAGAAAACAGCTAGATATGGTAAGTTTAATACAGCTCTTAAAATTTTAGTAAGTTGTTATTTCCATGTTTGTTTTTAAATTACCAGGAAACTTATTTCCCCGCCATTTTCCCGCTGGTGGGGGGAGCG